CTCTAAACCGCCGTTCCATTAATATAATTATATTTCTCCATTTGCAATAAAGGTTCTGCTTGTTCGTGCGAAATAAATTCTCTAAACAAAAAAAGAAAAATAAACAAAATAATAAAACGTTTCGTGCGATTTCTCTTCAATTTCGTAAAAAAAAAAATTTATAAAAAAATTATAAAAACAAGCAACGTATGAACTCGATATCAAGAGATTTATGTTACCCGCGTGTATAATATTTAAAAAAGTATATTTGATCGTTCAGGTTTTAATTCACAGTGTAGCGAAAGAGATTCACTGCATAATTTTGGTGGTTATTAATTCTATAATAAATTGAAATGAATTTAATACTATAGATATAATAATACAATATAGAACGATAGCGCAAATTTCAATAAACATATTTTCCCTCTCTCTCTCTTTTTCTCTCAAATTCAATACATTTCTCGAATACGCGAATCTTCTATCTCGATTCAATTATATTATATAATAAAATGTGCAATATTAACACATCTATATGTTTCGCTACACACGTGCATTTAAATGGAAACAGATATATTTTTTATATATATAGAGAGGAAAATTAAATAAAATGAGAGCGTGGGGGAGTTTATTTTTCGAAATTCGTCCGAGCGTAATGTCCGAGCTGCGGGTCTTAATCGCGCGATCTCTCTCGTTGTGTGACGAGCTTAAGGGTACATTCACCCGTCGCAGATTCTCCTCCGTCCTCCAGCGGCCGAACAACAACCGCGTGCACGCGAATTCCATGAGTTTTATTTAGAACATCGAATTATTCTAACGTGACGAGCACGCGCTCGCGTATATACGTGCACGTGTGCGGGCGAAGAAAAAAATAGAACGACAGAAAAGCACAACGGTAGTCTGGCACATTGCGAACATTACGAGAGGACTCCGTGAGAGATGAGAGAGCTCAGAATAAATTGTGAGTTCGGTTTTTTTTATACGCAAAGCGCACTCGAGAGAAAGTCTATAAAGTTATAAAAATAAAATCAAAACTACAGATATCGTGTCTCTTCTTCCGTCGCGAATCATCTTCTTCTCGAGAAACGAAATTTCCTCGCCTCCGGCACGTGTCCGCTAATTGCACAGCGCAGATAATGACACGCGTACTTGCTTTATCGAACGAATCAGTACGGTAGCGCGTACTGAGGCACAAGGAGAGAATTTTAATTAAAATTTTGCAAGCCGATATAAAAATGCGTGCCGTGCTCGAGCAAGCAAATTAAAACTACGAAAATTACGGGAGGAGCGAGAGCCAAGCCGCGGGGTGTTCTTTGAACTATTACAAAGTAACGAGGCGGGATGCGCGCGCTATCTTTTTTCGTCAGTAGCAAAGTAGAATCGTTGTTGCATCTGATAAAAGCCGGACGGACGCGCACGCGCGACTCATGTTTGCGTGTGTATGCGTCTGAGTGTTTCAACAGACATACACACACATACACACGCGTACGTAAACAAGTCCGCTGCATTCCACACGGACCGGCTGTACCTGCTGCACGTAATCACGCTCGAATAATTAATTAGCTTATTCTACATTACTTTACAGAAGTAAAAACGTATCGCTAGCCAAACTGGTTGCGAAGAAATTTTTCGCTACAGTAAAATGTTTATAGAACCGACAACAATTCGGAGTGAGGTAATAAAATGTTATTTTTATTTGAGAATTTAATTAAATTTCTCAGCGTTCTTTTGCAGAATTTAATTAAAGTCTTTTTTGTCACGAAATATTAAAGATTACATAAAGTTGATAAAGTAGTTTTGCCACGATAGAAAGAGCTTTGCGCACGAGCATTTTCGTACAGCGTTGCAACAAAATGATCGATAACGTTAGTGTGACAGACGCGAGATAATTAACGACTAACGTCACTTTTCACTTACTTGCATCATCATCATTAAAGAAATGAATTATATAACAGTTACAAACTTTATATTTAAAATCACATAATTAAAATAAAATTAAATTTAAACTTTTCAAATATTTCACTTAATTCGAGTTTAACAGATGTTCATTGTGAATCAGCAACGGTTTTAGTTAAAAATAATGTTAACCGTGATTGGAATTTCTCATGACTTCATGCGGAGACTAATAGTCGGTTGCCCGAAAATTAAGTTTCGCGAAACGAAGTCTCGTTGAGTTTGTGCCAACTTTCGGTTGGCAGCATCGCGGAGCAAAAATAGAGAATGCAATGTAATCAACTTCAAATTGCGGAGTAAACAATTTTAATGCGAACCGAATCGATGGCGAGATGTGTGTTATTAAATGTATATTGCGGAATAACATAAAAGCGTTACTCCCCGCTATATAGGCGAACGTCGATTGCGATAATACGTACGTAGATATCATTATTGGCTAATGCAACAAGGTTCCGTTCCAATAATCAACTATCGTATCGTGCGAATATCGCACCTGTACTAACATTCCTATTCGAAATTAGTGTAGGTGCGCGCGTGTGCAAATTTACTAATTAGAAAATGTACGTATTGGAAACGCTGTAGCGGGACTACCGAAAAGGAATAATTAGATAATTAGATGAAGATATGTAAACTAAAAGTGATGCGTGGGAATATAAATTAACAGCGTGTACTAAAAGTGATATATACCAACAAAAGTATACAGAAATATAAATCGATATTTACACAAGTACAAACTGTTTCACCGTTTTTCTGATATCGAGAGATAAAACTTTTGTTTGCCCGTACAAGAGAGAACTCTTCCAGTTTTAAAGTGACCGAAAAACCGAAGTGTGCCAGCAGCTGTTGGATAAATATTTTGCCCCGATAGTCAAGATGAAGCGAAGTTTCTTCTCCCCCGTCCCCTTTCTCGGCTCATCAATCACGTCAATTATACACGACACGGTCGACTCGTGATAACACGCGACTGACTGTGCGTGTGAACGAGGTCGAGCGAGAAAGACTATGATAGATAGAGAGGAAGAGAACGTACCTCTTAGCCTTTAAAAACGTTATTCATAATAGAATTTAAAAAGCTGGACAAAAATGGTTTTTGCAATATTTTTTTTTACGAGCAAAGACAAACATGTTCGATTCGAGTTAAATATTTTCTATCGCGTTGTTCGACACGACTGTTGGCAGGAAAAAAATTCAGTTTTTACGGGGAGGGAGGGGAAGAGCAGGCAATTACCAGAGACAAAAGGGTTCGAAAGTAGCCACAATTACGGACGTCTGTCTTTAGTCACTCTTCCTCCCTCTCCTCTTCCCACCAACCTGCGGATATATATCGTATATATATATTCCACCCTGTCATTTTCAGTGTTTCAACAAAGCGGCCATCAGAAACAATTTCTGAAATCACACGGAAACTCGCGAAGCGCAAAAGGAAACACTTGATGTTTCTAACATCATTTTCATCAAAGAACAGTTTACAGTTTTCGTCTTTTTTATCGAGCTCTCTTCTCTGCGAATACTTTTTCCTCTCTCGTGTAGTACTTCGAAAAGAGAAAAAAACACTGTTTCCCTTCGCGCGGTAAACCCGACCTATCCTATCCCTCTCGTCGTAAACTAAACGCGTATCGATCGTCTTCGGAGAAGGAACAGCGAGATTTCGTTTTGACAACGTTCGAATGAACAGGAAAATACAAGAAGATTGAAATTCGATAGACAGCACGTTATCAACGAAATTTCTCTTCCTCTCTCTCTCTCTCTCTCTCTCTCTCTCTCTCTCTCTCTCTCTCTCTCTCTTTCTTTCTCACGTGTATTATACTTAATAACCAAAAAAATCAGGATCAAAGGTAATGATTTCGGGAATGGACATCGTCGTTGGTCTCGGTTCGCGTATCTCCCGGAATAATCGGCCCGCAAACAATGAAAATGACGAACGAAGGGGTGTGCTTAATTGACGATGTCTCAATGGAACAACAAGGACGAAGGAAATGCGACAACCCCAAAGCTACCCCAGTCGAGCGAGGGGTAAACTCGAACGGTCGTATCCTTTGAACCTTCCAAGTGGCTTTAAGGCCACGCCAATATTTCACAAGTTTCGTTTTTGCCCGGTCTTTTTCCTCTCGCATTGTACGCGCGCCCTCCTCCTTTCCCCCCCTCTCTCTCTCTCTCGTCCCACAGCATTCGACATATATATTTGTGCAATATTTGAATAATGCCTCTTGCGTGATTTGCGTAATCGTTCATTCGACTCGATGGCACGCTCACGAAAATAGTTACATCGATGCGCTAAACGCGATAACATCGCGATTACTATCCGGTAATTTTGGTTTGCATTAATATACAACCCGGCTGAATTAACAATACACATGCAACGGAACGAGAAATTTCAATATTGTATATTACGTATACGTACGGAGAGAGAGAGAGAGAGAGAGAGAGAGAGAGAGAGAGAAAACAGTGTAAGAATATTTGCATTTATATTATAACAAAATAAATAAACTCCGACATGTTTCTCTCCAAAGTGAAACGAAATTACTACACTGCGTCAAAATGGCGAGTGTAGCGTCTGCCTCATGAAATTTCCACGCAAAGTCATACGCATCCAAATGGCAGTTTGAGTTAAAATAACACAAGGCACCGCGAGACGCGCGGGAAAGTGATAAGACCGTCGAGTGTCACACAACAGACTCGTTACCGACGACGTCGGCAAAGCAGGAATTGCCGCTAGTTGTTGGAAGTTTAAGCGTGTTATACAGCGGTAAAACATCGATCAAGTGGTTTAGCGAACATTGACTCGACAGAGAGAGACAGAAAGAAAGAGAGTTTATTTTCTAACTGTTTTAAATCCAGATATCTAATTAAACTCCCCCCCCAAAAAAAAATAAATTTGACATGTCACGACACGTCACGAGAAAAGCTCACGGAATGAGAGACAGAGATAGATGCTTGAATAATACATCATATGCTAAAATATAATCTTGAAACGTTTGAGCTCGCCGATTCTCAAACGCGGTACTAAATTTATTTCTCTATTTTCGTAAACGCGCGATTATTTTCAATATCTTTAAAAAAAAGAGACTCACCTCTCCGTGCGTGTCCCTCCTGCCGTCTGGCGTGTTCTCAGGTAAGAAATACAGCCGCAAAGACGCCAGAGGCTGATTCGGTCCGCGATTGTCCATCCACAGCAGCTGTAGCTCGCCGATACTGACGAGGTCGGCATCGCTCCAGAGTTTTGTCAAAAAGAAACTCCCGAGACGCAGGACACGACCGGTACCTATTCTTACTGCTTTGTAAAATGTGTAAGGGCCGTGGCTGAAGCAAGCACTGCCCAGTAACTGAAAAAAAAAAAAACAAAAAACAGAGAGAGAGTTGATATTGAATCATACATCGAGGTTCATTTAAATTGTATTTTCAACTTCACGAAAACATAATTTCCCGCAACACGATGGCTTCTAAATAATAATATCATCCATAATGTGTGTGTGTGTGCGTGTATGTACGTATATATAACACAATATACTACATAATTTAATAATAATTATCATGTAATTATTAATATTATAATTAACGTATATTTAATACTTAATGAGAAATACGTTTCAATAGTGTGCGCGCAATACATTATAATGTTAATTAGACTATTACAAATAGAAAAAGCCTATTTACATTAAAAGCACGTCTATTAAATGTAGCAAAGAGCGTATGTATGTGTATATATACACGTGCACACAAATATTGAAACAATTTGATTGAGGGATAAGAGAGATCTCTTTTTTTTTTTTTTTTTCTACCGAGCTGGCGAAAGCTCGTTTGAGTCGGCGATTTAAAATATCATCCCCTGCCGAACACGAGCAACGTGAGAGATTCGCGGCGACGACGGCAGCGGGGGATGAGTCCGCAGAAAAGGGAGAGGGGTACGCCTCCCCAGAGGGTATTTGCAGCAAAGCACAAGCACGGCACACGTGCGCACTCGCGTCGCCGCAACGTTGCACGCACGCACGATGTACACGCACAGCATATACATACGTAACGCGCACGAGATAAACCCGACACGTTGTTCGCACAGAATAGAAGAAACTCTTCGCGCTAAAAGCGACAACGCGGGAGCTTCCGAGTCGGCCGCGTGCGATTGAAATCGATCGAGCGTGACCGACGCGTGACGGTAAATAATAGACACGCGCGCATGAAAGCTCACACTTGCTCTTGTATCTTATAATTGATATCCGGAGTGGACGCGCGAGACGCGTTGCGTCCGTGCCGATGAGAAAACAAATCTCGCACTTGGAAGAAAAGAAAATGCAAGGGATTAATTTGCATTTTGCGCGAGGAGGGGCAAACAAAACAACAATAGAAGGAAATAAGAGAAATCCCGAACGATATACGTGACGTTGATTTTATGCCAGACTTTTCTCTCTTACTCGTTCTCTCTCTTTCTCTCTTTCTGTGCTCTAGAAAAAGTATTTATTATTCAATGAGAAAAATGTTTATTATCCGGCTGCTGAAAAAATTCCGCAAACGAAAGAGCAAACGAACCGTGCTCACGGAGCGAGTACAGTCCGTCGCATAATTTTCGACGAAGAGAGCCGGCGAGACGAGCGGCTGCAAAACCGTATCGACTGGTATCGAAGAGAATCTCTTTTGTGTGTGTTTTGCTCTGTCTTCATTTTTTTTCGTTTTGCTAAGATTCGACTATCAAAGCTTTTGATTAACGGAGCAACAACGACGGTTCCCCGTACGGCACTCTGAATAGCGAGGAATTCCCGCACCGGGAAATACACGAACGTGGTTTACCGACGTGCATGTCGACGTGCGTGCGCGCGCGCGTGTACATGTGTTGCACGTACATATCAATCAACCGGAAATCACTCTGTAATTGTCGACGCGAACTCCGGAGTTCACCATTCGCTCCGGTGCTGAAAGTTATTGCGAAACTTCACGGAATATTCTAATAGCGGAATTAGTCGGCTTTGTTGTTCCCCATTTACGTTCCTTGCGCGAGAATATGTTATTATACTGTTTTTTCTCGTTCCTTTATTTTTTAATTTTTTTTTTTTTTTGTAACGTGTGATATTTCGAGTTATCACACGTCACGGCAAACATCACGGAGGCGTGGCCGTACATGTAGATGCGATATCGTCAATATGGGAAAAAGTTCGTATAATTTCGAATAGTCGGCAGCGAATATTCGATACTCGAAGATGGGAAAACATGATCCGACGGCTCGCTTGTAGCACGGACTGTACGAGCGTCTGCTGCTTTGCGGCGGAAACTTGTCCATTACTCCCTTTGCTTTATTTATCCGGGCGAAATTTCAAATGGATCGGATTTGGACGTAAAAGAGACAGCCGCGCAAAGATCGATGTGCTGGAATATTCACGTGAAACGCTCTACATTTTTTTCCTCATATCCGGTTTTATATATATATATATACACATATATATGTATATATAAACATATATGCATATTTACATATGTATATTTACATATGTATATGTATACAAAAACTTTATGATTTATTGTTTTTTTGTGCGACGTAACTTCTTCATAAGTATTGATATCCTTCGGCGAGAGAGGGCAAGATGATGTTCCAAAACACTCATCTCGAATAATAAGATTCTTTAATTGTCGATAAGTGAATTCGATATCGGGTCACATATAGTCGCGCGCGCGCGCGCGCGCTGTCAATGGAGCGCGCTTGTAAATGGATCGGGTCTCGAGTGTGCGCTTCGTTATGCAAAATTGTCGCCAAGTCGCTCATCATAGCGAGCGCGTGTGCCGCGATCCGTGACCCGATGTTACATAATTGAATCAATAACATCACCGTGAAATCCGCATCGTGAGGAGAATGAGCACCGCTGCCATAACTATTTCCAATGTTTTAAGAGTACAGTCACGGCCAAGAGTTCCCTCCGTTTGCGAGAGAAAAGGGATCAGCCGGCGATGGGTATTTATAGCGGTTAATCTTGTTTCTCTCTCTCTCTCTCTCTTTCCATGCGTTCTGCACCGCACGCGAAACCCACCGGCCATTGATATCGCGATTGCATCTACGACGCTCTTTTATCTGCGCGAACAAGTGCATTGGCGCGGAGAGAGATGCGTGCACGTACGTATACGTGCGTGCCCTCCCTTACATATGCGCGGACGCGCGTGCAACGAATTATTTTCGAATTCGTTGTATCGCCGTTATTATTTATCGAGGCGTGCCAATTACACGGGAGGTTCTATCGCTAAATATTTCACCACGAGCCGATGCACAATAGCGCGCATGCATTATTCATTCGATCGTCGTGTACGTCCTTCTTTTCGTAAAAACAAAACAAAAAAACATTTTCCATCGCGTAAATAAATTTCCTTCGCCGGGATACTAACGAATTTGTGTCTCTCTCTCTCTCTCTCTCTCTCTCTCTCTCTCTCTCTCTCTCTTTTGCTTGCTTATTTGCTGCTCTTATTGTTGATTATTTGCCGGGAAGCGTGGCACGCGCACGCGATATTTAAAGTGTCGCATTAATGCAAATTATTTAAAAATAAAAGGTCGTCATATATAATAACGGAAGTGAACGTTTATAACGTTTGACGATAAATATAATGTCGTGTCTCGTTTTTATCGTTTGTACTTGGTTTTCAGAAAAGAAAGAAGAAAGTAATATAAAGCACAAGGAGAAAGAGCGTATCTGTAAATCTTTGTCTCTTCGAAGTGGGAACTCGAAAGCATACTAAGTGCAAAGTTATCCATGGCGCTCTTTTCCGTACATATGTATATATACATATGTATATACAAAATATATATATATGTATACATCTATATATATACAATATATATATATATATATATATATATACACATGTACATATATATACACGCGACGAGAAAAGATAATTGTTATCTTTCTTAATAACGCGTTATCCGCTCCGCCATCGGGGATACCGTAACATTACGCGCTCAGAACTTCTGCAACTTTATATAATGATCGTTGTCTGTTTTCCTCTTGCAACAGAAACGCTCGCGCTGAAACGGGTCGTCGTGGGAGAGAGCGAGTACGGCGGTCGGAGTGACAAAGACGGAAAAAAATGCGTCACGTAACATTTTAAGGCCGTCGAGTAGAATAATATAAAGACATAATAAGAGCTCTGTGTTTTTTGTCCTCCAAAGCAGCGATGTTTAGAATGTTTTGAAAAGCGACAAAAATGTATAAACAAAACAAAAAAAAATAGCAACAATCGAAATAATCGAAGTCTACGTGGCAGAATCCGGAAGGAGTGAAGAAAACAATAAAGCTATGCAAATTCAAAATCGCTATGAAGAATCGCTAAATAGAATAATACATGCAAATAACATTTTCTTGTTTTATCTCTCCTCGATGCGAAAACTATACCTTTATACACTCACGTTTATTCGAAATAGGAAAATACGTGCGAGAAAAGAGGAGAAAATAGGTAATTAATCGAATCCGCTTTAATCGGCCGTGTTGCGGCATGAATATTATAAATATTCAAAAGTACGCCGCGTTCATTGCTATGCCAATGCGCCCGGCGCCGACCAGAAGATACGGAAATGCTGAGCATGTGCCGTTCGCGATATCGCGACACATTGTTATAGGCGTGCACGAAAGACAGAGACAAGAGCGGCGCGAGAAGAGAGTTTTCGGAAAAACATGAAAAAATTGAACAGCGACGATGCGAATTGCGCGACGAGAAATTAGTTACATGCAAACGACCGTTATAAGTGCGAACAAATTAATGCCGATCGCTAATAGCTCTTACGCAACATGCATTACCGGCAACATAACGAGCGATATATCGTACATAGGAGTCATACAATCGCGCGCGATTGTAGGGTTATCAGAGAGGTACGAGCATAAATGTCGGCCATCAAAATTATTTCCATCGCGATGCAACGACGGCAAATTATTTCGATCGGCCGAAATCGCGACACAAGTCGCGTGCGCGATTTTGAAACAAATTGATTATAAAAAAATTTAATCAATCCACAATACACTCTTCTTTTTATCTTCTTTTTTTTAGATAGGTTTTTTATCCGCCGGTATAATAAACTGCGACAAATTACCGAATGAATAAAACAACATTTGTATGTACCGACTATACTGCCATTTGAAACGATCGCAATTGGCGAGAGAGGAGAGGAGTGAAGAGAAGAGATATATTTGCATCATATAATTAACCTTTTTCATTGCGCGAGAATATGTAATCATCCCGCTTATCTCGAGCGCAAAGATCTCGCACGCGTGGACCCCCGAGGTACCACGAGGGATCGAAAAAAGGACAGGATATATAGGGCAATGCTCCCCATTCCCCGTTTCACCTCCCTCGCGTCATT